CCCCGATAACGGTGCTTACGGAACTAACTTTGAGTATATCACTTTCATCCCTGGCTGAGATTTCGTGAGAGTTTTTTTGAAATTTTTCCACTGTTTTAAAACTATTCGACAACCCTGAAGAAAGTCAAAGGAATCTGTATTTGTTCCTCTTAAAAAGCTGATACAGTAAACCATTAATGTCAGTACCAGCTCCTACGTCTCTATTCTTCTCATCATTTATGGAGAAAAACTGAGCTATCGGCTTTGAACGCAGGCTGTTTACGGACTTGAAAGGCTATGACATGGTTCGACCGAGGCCACAATGTTCTTGCGGCTTTTTTCATATATACGCCGCAGAGTAGCAAGAAGGACGATTATTAATGCATACGCAAGATTTGCGTCTTCGACAATTCCAAACAACTATGGAGGAAACTATGTAACCAACCGGGTTGTCTCTCAAATTCCTGTTGAATTTAAGCTCTTGGTATCGCAAGCAAATAAATGCAATAAACAACTGGTTCGTAGTTAGACAAATAAGCGCATTTGTAGGTTATTCCAAACATTCAAATTGACAAGTAGGCAGACAACTTTAAAATTCTTGCTAAACCGATATGTGATGCGAGTGCTCTCCTCAACGTGAGAAACGAGCTATACGCCAAAAAGAGGTCACTTAAATTGCGTAGTGCACCGATCATCTAAGAAAAAAATTGGTAGACTTGAACTTGGTCCCACAACCAACACAACCACCATTTTAAGGGGGGCGGGATGTATAGTTACGAAACGCACTGTAATTTCTCCTCCTTCATCGTAGAAAGGTCCTGCGTTTTTGACGAATCATTTCTCATATTTTACGTAAAATTCAAGCGTCCTGCCCATTATAACGCCCGTAATACTCAATGAAAGCATGTTTATTTAGCATACACATTTTCTTGCCTAACTGCTTCCTGTTCTATTCCAAAAGCCTCATTGGCTTCAGGGGTGGAGCGTCTGTTTTGTAAACAGAAGGTCGCTGGTTCGATTCCAACATGAGGCGTTCCTTTTGCTTTGCTCCATAGCTAAGTCTGGAAGATCGGGGCACTACAGCAGCAGGATGGCCTTACATGCGAGAGTATAAGCGAAAAAAACCGTTTTGCTAGCAGCCTAAGACTCCAACAGACTCATTGGCTCAGGGGCAGAGCGTCTGTCTAGTAAACGGAAGGTCGCTGCTTCGATTCCAGTATGAGGCATTCCTTCTGCTTTGCTCCACAGCAAAGTCCAACTCACTCGTCGTGTGTGGCGGCGTTTTTGTGATCTCTCGACTTTTCTTTTCGAGTTTAATTTCATTTCATATTTTTGTTTAAGATTTATTTCTAGTATCATTTCTTTAAACTGTTAAAGAGCTTCTTTCCCGCTCTGTTACAGATTGTTTTTTTTTGCCTAACTTTAAATCTTCTCTTAGTTGTCCCATCATCGTCACTTGCAGCATCGAATTTTGAGATCAAAATGGTCGTCACCCGTAGCCAAAACAGCAGCACGCATATAAATTCTCAGCTTTTTAGTTCTTTGAATACCAGCAGCCATATTCAAGGCGGGAAAGCTAGTGACGCCAGTGATTTTAACCAGATGTCTGCTCATGATATGATTTCCAGTATCACCGCGCGCAACCGTGATCCCGTAATCGATCAGATGCTGAGGACATTGTCCGAGGAAATTCCGAAGGATTTCTCTGACGCGATTGAGACCGAAAAGAGATCTCGTAGTCTGGTAATTAGTGGAATTGAGGAACCGCAGGAAGGTCTGCGAGTACCGGAGAGACGTAGATTTCTTCGTGACAAAGTCAATGAAATTTTAGACGCACTGGATGTCGACTGCGCGCCGAGTGAGGTATTTTGAGTAGGTAAATTTGATCCCATTCGCAAAACACTTGTCAAGATAGTCCTACCCTCTATTTACTACTGGAGACGCGCTCTCGCTAATGCACGCATGTTACGCTCCTCCAACTACTCAGGAATTTTTATCCGCAAGAGTATGACAGAGGAGGAGCGTAAGCATGAATACGAATCTACTCTTTTATTAATTGAGAAACCATGCGTGTGTATGTATGCGTGTCTATGTGAGCACCGGAACTAGGGCTTATCGAGAAAAACTACGAACACCATCGTGTTCAGTGCCGCGAGTTACACACAAAAAGGGTGCAAATTTTTAGATTTGTCAAGTCTGAAGTGTATTTCGATCCACTTTTCCTTCTAACAACGTTAACACGTTAAGCAGCTGATTAAGCCGAAATGAGAAATCAGTCATATCATTGCTGCATATATAAAGACTGCTGTTCTTTAGTAAAGTTTATTTTATATGCGACCAGAGAAGTGGAGAACCACAAGAGTTTTCCAACCTAGGGGTGGGATGGGACCATGCGCGCGGTATACAGGTACGTTTACGTTCATGCTGTAAAGTCTCCCCCACTACTGCGGCCTGTTCCGGGCCACATTTTCGTTCCTTAAAATGTCAATCGTGGAGTTGCTCAAGCGAAACGAGGATGAAATTATATCACCATCGTGTATATAAAGGCTGCCAAGCATCAGTAGAGTTTATTTTAGTGGAATCACACCCTCCGGTGCGTGCGCGCCACCAAGCGTGCTGGACGGCCCGTTCGCGACGGCCCTTTCGCGACGGCGTCGTCTGGCCATTGCGCCATGCGGCGTGTGCGCCATCAGGGG